CTCCCACCTTCTTCTTCTCTGGGTCATTGGTGGAGCACAAGTCCCACCTGTTTCCTGGCTGCTGTTTACCATATTCCACATCTCAGTGCTATACTGTCCATGCCTTCTGTTATTTAAGCTGTAGAGAAAGTCTTTGCAGTTCTCAGTTGGAGAAACCGAGGTTTAGAGATACCTGCTTTGGTCATAAAAGGGGCAGAGTTAGGTTGCAGGCTGGTATGTCTGACTCCAGAACTTGAATGTGCTGTATAAGGCCAAGAGGATGGGCTGTGGAAACTCCCTCCTTCCCGGATCTCCAGCACTCGGTGTAAATGGTCAAGAGAGCACTTACACCGGGAGATGCCTGACTTGTTAAAGGACAGGCAGCACAGCTCATTCATCCTTGTGTACACAATGCCAAATCCAGGCACTCAAGAACTGCTTTCTCAAATGACCGCACAGAAAACCCTGACATTAATCCACATCACTCTTCACTCTTGACATTTTCCTCTTCTTAAGAGTCAAACATCTTGAAAGAGCTGCCTTTTTTGGTTCCTCATTTGTGACTCACGATTGAACCCACTCCAGCCTGGCCTCTGCCTTCACCACTCCAGCTAAATAATTCATGTCACCATTGACCTCCATGTTGCCAAAAACAATAGACGTATTTCTCTCCTCTCATCAGTAGGTCTCTGACCAACTTTCAACAGTTGCCCTCTCCCTCCTTCTTAGGAGGTTCTCTGTCTTGGCTTTATAATATCACACTCTCCTGGTGTTTCTTTTTTTTCTATTTTTTGTGGGTTTTTTTGTTAATCTTCACCTGGGGATATATATTTTTTAAAATATGTTTTTATTGATTTCAGAGAGGTAGGGAGAGGGAGAGAGAGATAGAAACATCAATGATGAGAGAGAATCATTAATTGGCTGCCTTCTGCATGCCCCCTACTGGTATCAGGCCCAAAATCCAGGCATATGCCCTGACCGGGAATTGAACCCTGACCTCCTAGTTCATGGGTTGACACTCAACCACTGAGCCACACTGGCCAGGCCCAAAGATATTGATTTTTAGGGAGAGTGAATGAAGGGGGTTAAGAGAGATAGAGAGAGAGACATCAATGTGAGAGAGACACATCTATTGGTTGCCTCCCGCAGAGAACCTGACTGGGGCCAGGATCGAACCTGCAACCCGGGTACATGCCCTTGACCAGGAATCAAACCTGAGACCCTTAGGTGCCTGGGCTGAATCTAACCACTGAGAAACACAGGCCAAGGCTACTTTCCTTCTCATCTCCTTAGCTGGGTCTACCTCATCTCCTCCAAACTCTAAGTGTCCTCAGACTTTGTTCTGGGCTCTCCCTTTTTATTTCTCTATACACTCAAACAAATGTAAATAGTATCTATATGCTGGTGGCTCTTCAATTATATCGCCACCTCAGAACCTCCTTTCTGAGCTCCATGCTTGTATATCCAATGGTCCTCTTGACATGTCTGGTTGGACAGCTTCCAGAGATCTCAAACTTAACATGTCCTAAAGTGAACTCTCATTTCAGTCCAGAGCTTTCACCTAGTAGGCTTCTCCACTTCAGTAAATGACAGGACCATTCTCCCTGTTGCTCACTCCAGAAATTAGAGAATGTGCTTGATGCATCCCTTTTCTTCAGCCTCATATCCAATCCACTGGCAAGTCCTGATTCTACTTACAAAATTCATCTCTGATCATCGGCACTATCCCATGTACATCCATGCTACTGGCCACATCATTTCTCACTAGGCTTAATGCAGTAGCCGCCTAACCAGTCATATAATATATCATCCAAACCAATTCCTTTTCCAGAATGAAAAGGGGCATTATTAATAATTAATCCATTCTAGATTAAGCCCACAGGGGTTAATCTAGAATGTCCTTGCAAAACAAAACATGTAGTTAACCTACCTCTCAGTCTAGCATACAGTAATAATCAGATCACTTCTCTGAAAATTCTTGCTTAAAATCCTTCAGTGGATTCCAATTTCCCGTACAATAAAATCCAAGTCCTTATCTTGGCCTACACAGCACAGTGTTAGCTGTTCTTGAAACCCTTCAGCATCACTTGATGGCACACCCACTCATGCTTACAATCCTCAAATCCCACCAGCAAACCAAGCTCTTATTTGCCACAGAGCCTTGCACATGGCATTTCCTCTACCCAGGACACTCTTCTGCTTGCTCTTGACATGGCTGGACCTTTCTCGTCTTGTAGGTCTTTCCTAAGTCACTCTTTCTTAAGAGATACCTTCCCTGATCACCCTGGCAGGCTTACCCTGTGTAGTCTTTCCTTAACAATTTCTGTAAGTGGGATTATTTTATTAATTTTTTTGGTTATTCTTCTGATTTTTGTTTAGATTACCTTCTGGTACACCTTCTTCCCTGGAGTATAAAATCAATGAGAGAAGTGACCATTTCTGTCTTGTTCACCCATAAATATCCAGTACCGTGCCAGTGCCTGGCATATAATGAATCTCAACAAATGCTTATTGAGTGAATGAATGATTGGATTAATTTGTTAGTTACTAATAAAATGGTTTTCTTTCCTAATAGGTCAATATAGTTATAAGGAGCTAATAAAGAGGGAGACACTAAAGATAAAGAAGGGGGAATAACACCAGCTTCAAGGGGACCCAAGAGGCAGTAGGTTTAAGCCCACAGGGGATGGTTAACCCCAAAGCAAGCAGGAACGTCTCTTGCTCTGAGAAAGGGAAAAGGATATTGAGAGTGAGGTCCTGGGATGAGACCATTTGAGAGGGAGGACAGGAGACCTGTGGGAGTCCAGCTGTGCTTGCTGTTGCTGTACTTGATGTCCCTGAACTCGTCACACTCCACTGCGTTGGCTCATTTGCTTGTCTGATTTTAGGGCACGTAGGCAGGAAACCCAAGGGAAAAGGAACGTCTGTCTTTTTGTGTGTCATCCCTGTATCCACAGTACCTGTCACAGCACCTCGAATGTAGTATATACACTTACTAAATACTTGTTGAGATGAATGAAGTAGAGAAGTATAGCTCAGAAGTTGACAGATCAGGGTGGACGATTTGGGAGTTGGAGAAAGCATGCATGATTGATACAATTTTTGATTTGCAGGACATGGTAATGAGTCACTTTATAGTAGTGATGTAAATCCATATCAAAATATCTACTACTATACTAACAAAAATAACGTAATTTTATTTTATCATATAAATTTATGCTTTACATGTCCTCTCATAGAAAAAAAATTAGGACCCTAAAGTGTAATAAAGTACTGTATTAGTTATCATGGTATACGATGAAAAGCCTTGGGAGAAAATAAATACTTGGAATTTCCACTGTGCTGACTATCAGAGGGGTAAGTTAGCACAAAACACTGGGAAACTAGTGGAGGGAGAACAAGGACAGACACACGGTATTTCTCTAAAACACCAGGACTAAAAAACGCATCATTATTTACATACCACCAAGGAAAAAATTGCTGTTAATTCAATTAAGACATAATTCTTACTCAGAATTTTCATTCCACATTTATTGAGAAAATTCTCTTGGACCCACTTAGACATAGATTTTTATCTTACATCACTCTCATGTATATAAACAAAAAGGAAAACCTACATAAATTTATAAGTTTTCCTAAAGCAAATGACAACTATTTCATTAGTATAGCCTGGTCATTAGTGAATGTAAGACATGTCCTAATTTCAGAAATTTATAATCAAAGCATGTGTGTTTTAGAAGTGCTGAAACGTAATATTTAAACTTAAACTACAGATTCTCTCATTATACTTATTGAAAGAAATTAATCAGCTTTGAGCCATTATTGACCACAAAGCGTGATGATGGTGCTCCTGAGGTCAAGTTCAGCTTCACACAGGCCGCTCAGACATGGGGAACCTCCACTGAGCCAAACCAGCTAGGGCTGGGGTAGTAATTTAGTAAAGAAGTAGCAGGGTTTGTATATACAGGCTCTCCTGAACTCTGGTGTTAAGGGTGTCTCTCTCAGCCCCCCTGGAGCAGGGAGGGTACCTTGTACAGGGGAGATTTATTTTTGCATCCAGGGAGATAAGGCAGGGTTGGCGTCCCTTTCTGCATTGGCTGCTTGTCAAGTGACTTTAATTCAAAGGAATTAATACACCATTGTGGGATATTTTGGAGCAGCCTGCCCCAGCCCCTGATAGTTCCTGGCATCTAAATGCTTCCTCTCCCATTATGAGGCGGGGTGATCGGAAGCAAAGGCCCCACCACTTGATTGCCCACAACTAGGAAGCCAGATTATTTTTATTTATTAATGAAAGATTTTTTAAATTAAAGTGTAGTTGGCATAAAATATTAAATTAGTTTGAGGTGTATAGTGATTAGACATTTAGATACCTTATAATGTGGTCACCATAAGTCTAGTAACCACATGTCACCGTGCAGAGTTCCTGGAATAACATAAGGGAGCCCGCTCAGATAATACACTTCCTCATAGCTGAGCCAGCTGAGCAGGCCTTTTTGTGGTGGAAGCATCTTCCAGGGCACCTGGGAGATTTGGTGAGCTAACCTGTCAGTTTTGAAGTTCAGGGCTTTAGATATGAACTCAAAAGGGATTTCATTTCTGACACATCTACCATCTGACCATGCAGAGGCCATCCTGAGGGAATGACAAGTAAAGCAAGGTCCTGGCTGGAGGAGACGGCCCCTAACTGCACACCTTCCAACAGCCTGGGTGCCCCATGCTGGAGCCCCTCACCCTTCCTCTCCACATCCAGGGGGCCCTGCCTTGGCCCCTTCAACTCTGACAGCAGAGGCACCCCTGACCCGTGGCTTCGGGGCAGAGCGAGTCTACCGTCTTTCTTGAGGGTTACACAATGAGGAAATGACCTTTGCATGAAGACAACCACTGCTGTCCAATAAGTGTCCTTTGTACCTTTTTAAGAGAAATGATCCAGAGGGACTTTCCACAGGTGCCAAATCTGGCTTCTCTTCCCTACCCATGATCCAGCAGGGAGGGCTCAGCATCAATAAATAGCAGCCAGCTGTCCCCAGCAGGCAGGGACCAGCAGCTCGGCTCCACCAGAGACCAGGTGAGGGGCCACTCCCAGGAGGCCTTGCTCTACAAACCTTACTCTGTTTTCTCTTTCCAGCAAGACTGTACATTCATTTAAAATAATTACTCTCTTCTGCATTTGTGCTGCATGTGATCTGTGCCGGCCGAGTGCACAGGGTAATGCTTCTGGTCTCATTACAGGCTGCTCAGGGGGTTTGGTCCTAACTGCTCTGTTGCTCCCTCAGTGCCGCCTTGGTGACTCCTAGACAGTCTTGGGTTCAGGGTTGATGGGTTCAGAATCGAGGACCGTGGCTCTGAGTGAGGTCCTACTGCAATGTTTCCTAGGTGGGCAGCCAGCGTCTCTGAGAACAAATGGAAATGCACAGCCGGGCTGTCTTTGACATACAAATCCCAAAAGGAGGTGTGCCAATCTTGCCTGCATCTCTCTGACCCTCACCTTTCATTTCAGCACCATGAAGCTTTTCACCAGCCTCGTGTTCTGTTGCTTGGCCCTGGAAGTCAGCAGCCTGGGCTTGTTTGATTTCGCTGAGCAGGCTTATGACGGTAAAGTCTCTTGCGGGGTATGGGGGATGGAACCCAAGGCCACTAGGATTTCACCTGAGAGCCCTTCAGGGTTGGGGCTACTGTATTAGTTTGTGTTGCCCCCTGTGGTAGAATGTGCTGGGTGTTTTGGGAGCTTTTCATCAAACACATGGAAAAACCGCAGGACTTATTTTAATCAGTTACTAGAGAAAGAACAATCATCATTCCCAGGTGAAAGGTAAGTTTGACTAGAAGACTCAAGAGGTATTGAAATGGTATACAATTTCCCTCAGAGCAACTGCACAAAGTATGATTAAAGTTATCCATCTTTTCTTCCCCTCCTCCCCTCGCCCCCTCTCTTGCTTCTCCCTCCCTTCCATTTCCTAACTGGGTAGTTTAGTGAGACCTGCAACTTAGCTCTTGCTGGGGCTTCCTATAGTCAGGTACACTGCCCCTGCTTTAGTCTGTTTCCTACCCTTTTCCAAACTTTTAAAAAAATATTTATTTTATATTTTTATGGATTTCAAAGAGGAAGGGAGAGAGAGAGAGAGAGAGATAGAAACATCAATGATGAGAATCATTGATCAGCTGCCTCCTGCATCCCCTTATTGGTGATTGAGCCTGCAACCCAGGCATGTGCCCTTGGTCGGAATTGAACTTGGGACCGTTCAGTCCCCAGGCTGACATTCTATCCACTGAGCCAAACTGGCTAGGGCCTCTTCCAGCCTTTTAACTGACCAAAAGGCAACCAGTAACATCCATTGAGCCCCCTCTAGGAACTCAGCACTTCCATGCAATTTAGGGCGACCAACTCTCCTGGTGTGCCTGGCTGCTGCTGAAGGAGGGGCTGAGGGCCTGGGTCACTGGGGGGGCGTGGCCAGCCTGAAAACAGCCATCAGCCCCTCACCCAGGCTGGGCAGGCACCCCAGCGGGGACCCCCCACCCTGAGGGGGGTATGGCCAGCCTGAAAACAGTCCTCAGCCCCTCACCCAGGCTGACCATGCACCCATGGGGTGGGCATGGCCAGCCTTTCTCACAATCTGCTTCCCATGTCACCACCAGGCTCACTGAGTCCCCTGAACACTAGCCTATGTAGCTTCGCTCCATATACCAGAGGTTCTTGATCCTGAGCCCTTGGTGCCCCGGGGACATGTGGCCATGTGGGAAACACTGCTGGTTGTCACATGGGGATAGGCTGCTGCACCTACTGGGCAGAGATGTGGGGATGCTGGGGAGCCTCCCATCTTACTCAGGAAGGCCCTAAACACAAAGAATTCTCTGGCCCCAAATTTCAGCAGCGCTGACATTGAAATCCTGTTCTGTAATGTTTGGCCTCCCTGTCTCCTTTAAACATATGCCCCAGAGGCCTCAGTGAGCTGGAGCCCACAGATAGCATGACAGGCATCAGACCACCAGGTACAACCCAGCTGTGCCCCCACCTAAATGTCTCTCCTTAGAGTCACCTGGGAAGCCAACTGGGCCTGGAGAATGTTCTTCTCAACCTGTGGTCTCCAGGGTGCCGTGACCACTGGGTGATATTGAGTCAGTGGTTCATTTTCATCCCTTGATTCTTCTCTAAAGGGTGTCACAGTTCTCAGATATTTTACCTCATATCTCTGTGCCATGTCCTTTCCATCCCAGGAACCAAAGACATGTGGAGAGCCTACTCTGACATGAGAGAAGCCAATTTCAAAAACTCAGACAAATACTTCCATGCCCGGGGGAACTATGACGCTGCCCAAAGGGGACCTGGCGGTGCCTGGGCTGCTGAAAAGATCAGGTAACCTGGCTCCTGGGGATGCTGGATGGGTGAGCAGAGCTTGGCTGACTTTGAGGATCAGGAGGGTGTAGGCCCTAGAGAAGGACCCTGTTGGGGCTGTGGGCTCCTCCTCATGTTCTTCCTTCTACCTTCTCCATCCCTGCCCAGCGCAGGGCTTGGGCTGTCAGCAGAGCCAGAGAATGGCTTGTGAGCCTGTCCCACAAAAGAGAAACTGAGAGCCAAGGACTGATTCCCCTCCCCCAGGTGCTGTTCTCCCAGGGGGAGGGGTCACCCCAGGACTGAGTGAGCTGTGCCCAGGCAGGGTCAGTGCTTAGCCTCATTCCAGGCTCCTCTCAGAGTCATTAATCCCTTGGAAAGGGGAGGCTGGGGCTGCTTCTCCTCAGCCCCTGATTCACCTCCTACCTGTCCTCCTCCATTCCAGTGATTTCAGAGAGGCTTATCCGAGACTCACTGACTTTGTTAGGCATGGAGACAGCGGCCATGGATTGGCGGACCGAATGGCTGACCAGGAAGCCAACAGATGGGGCCGGAGTGGCAAAGACCCCAATCGCTACAGACCTCCAGGCCTGCCTGCCAAGTACTGAGCTCCTTCACTCTGCTCTCAGGAGACGGGGCTGTGAGCCCATTAAGGGCAGGGACCCTGAGTCATTGAGTTCTACATCCCCAGATGCTGACAGAGGGCACATAATGGATGTCTAATAAATGCTTAAGAGATTGAATGTTAAAAACTGTGTTGTTATTTGCTATAAGGACTACCTGTCAGTACGAAGGGGTGAAGCATGAACACCCACATGAAGGCAGAGTCTGTGCCTGTGTGTTTGGGTGGAGGGAACACAATCTCAGTGTCAAACAGGACAGACACCCTGCTACAATCATTCCCTGAGTCAGACTCGCTCTTCTCCAGGCCCCTCTGGTTACCTTGCTATTACCAGGCCTTTCGGTGTCCAGGCTTTGGTGTACATTTCTGTCAGCCCCCAAACCTTTCACTTTAACAGGAAATGCCTCCATAACACGTTGCTCATGCCTTCTTGAAAATGCGTACCCATCCTTGTGAGTTAGTCCTTTTGCTCGTTGTTTTTAAAGCTCTTTTAACACCAGCTAGTAGGAGTGGGATGTTAATAGTCAGAAAATTAGCTGTGGGTCAGGTATTTCTCTAAGTGTTTTCTTGTGTTATCCCAGGGGATCCTCGCATTTCATAGCTGAGGAAACTTGAGGCACACACTGTTAAAATATATATCCAAGTTACATTGCTAGTTTGATGTAGAACCACCATTCTTAACCATTTGCTATCACTCACATTTGTATTGAAGTTTAGAGTTTATAAAACACTTTTATCTATATTAGTTCACTTAGTCATTCTTTAAGTGAATGTATTCCATGTACCACCCAGTTTATCTATGGGGGTAAATTTATATGGGGGGCAGAGGTAATAAAGGGCTGAGAAAAAAGCAAGCAGCAATTTGGAAGAAATTGCATCATTGTGTCAAGGCGACGGTACAAAGAGGTAAATAGCCATTTCCTTAGAGAATGGCATGAGCAGAGTTCCTCCCCAAACTTGTCAGTTCTGGGGACAGATGGAGACCTAGACCTTAGTTCTGAACAAGGACAGCATTGCACCCAGCCCCTTCCCCACTCCAGCGTTTGGATATCTCTGGGGAAATTTTCGGTTGGCACAATTATGGGGGCATTTAGTGGACGGGCCATCCATTAAACCTTACAATTTACAGGACAGTGCTGCAAACATAGAACCATCCTGCATTCTGCATAACTTTTGCAATGTCCTATCAGGCATGCATATAGGCAGCGTCAGGTTTACTGTGAAGCTGACAAAGCTTCAGCTTCAAGGGCTCTTCACTTATATGGGACCATTCCAAGACCCTGGGAGGGACTCTGAAAAAGTGTTTACATGGTCGAACCCCTTTGTAAAATCTAAAAGAGCAATATTTTAACTCTAAGCAGTGAATGCCACAAACTCTGTCCATTCCAACATCCCACCATTACATTTCTCCGTGTGTTGAGTGACCATTGGGGTGGTCATAGACATTTTGGAGATTTAAGAAGTTGAATTGGGATTACAACTTGTTTGCATTTAGTGGGACATTTATGTGGTTTTCAGCCACTTCCTAGTATAATTGAGTTGTTGGTCGCCACCCTGGAGTAGGAATGGCTTCTAGACTGCCTACTGAGGTCATATGGCAAAATGAACATGCCTTGTACAGTCCAGCAAAGCATATGTAGGAGATGAAATACACGGTCCAGTGAGGGTGACCAATAACAATTATGACTGTGACCATGCCTGGTAGAGTGGCGGGAGTGGGAGAGATGGAGTCATCTGGGCTCCTATCCCTGACGGGAATATTGGGCGGGCATTCAGCCCAGCAGGGCTCTGGGCAGCAGGGGGCGCTGTGGCGAGAGCAGCGCCGGGCCCTCTGGCGCCAGAAGGCGTCTCGCCTCCTCCGGCGGCTTCCGGCGCGGCCCCTGCAGACCTGTAGCGGCCAAATCATGGACCGTAACCCCTCGCCGCCGCCGACGCCGCCCAGGGACGAGGACGAGGAGGAGGGGGCCGGGGGAGACTGCATAGGGAGCACGGTGTACAGCAAGCACTGGCTCTTCGGCGTCCTCAGCGGGCTCATCCAGGTGTGGAAACTCGCGCCTCGCGTGGGCTCCCCCTTCATCCCCCGCGCCCGGCCCGCCCCTCCTGCCCGGGGCCCGCGGTCCCCACGGCGACCCCTCTCCCGGCGCGCGCGGCCCCGCGCCCCGCGTCCTGGCAGCTCTCCCGGACCCCCCAGCTCTAAAGGAGGCAGAGACAGGACTGCTGGAGCGCTTGCGGTTAAATTAACATATTTTCCTTTCGCAAGTTTTCCAAAAATATGTGGCCATGTAAAGGCGTTGCCCGGGTTTTTGCTCCCCATTTCCACGGTCGTTTCCGAAGTCTAGGCCCTCATAATCTATTTCATGGACTTTTGTTGTAATACAGTGTTGATTTTGGAGTCAGAGCTCTGATACCAAATGCGCGGCTTCGTCGCCTCCTTGCAGGGTGACTCTGGGCAAAGCTGCTAAGCGCTCAGAGCCTCGGTTTCTTTCCCAGTTTCTCTACAGTGGGATGGTAACGTCTGTGTTGTGGGATATGGGGTTATTGTGTAGGTTAAATAAGATCATGGCCATCGGGTGCTTACCCTGGCCTTTAGCTTATGGGAGGCTGCGAACATTTCTTTCCCTACATTTCCCCAGCTGTTACCTACTTCTAATCTCGGTCCTTTCCAGTCCATCTCTACACAGTTGCCAGAATAATCTTCCTTTTAAAAAACAAACAGCCCGGCCGGTGTTGCTCAGTGGTCGATTGTCGGTCAGGGTTGGATTCTAGGTCAGGACACATGCCCGGGTTTCTGGCTGGATCTCCAGTAGGGGGCGTGCAGGAGGCAGCCGATCAGTGATTCTGATCATTGATGTCTCTCTCTCCCTCTCCCTTCCTCTCTGAAATCAATAAAAATATATTAAAAAACAAAAAAAAACCCTCCTCATAGTTCCCTTTGCCTACAGGAGAAACATGCATATATTTTAGCTCAGAATCCAGGGCCCTTTGCAAACTTTCCAAGTCTCATCTGCTCATGACACGAAACTGCTCACATTCCCAAACATGCTAGGTCCTTAACTCTGAACTCTCCTACTTTCCTCCTCTTCTTCCTCAGAGATTTAGCTTAAATATCACCTAAGAGAACTTTTCCCTAATTTCTCCCAGGCATGGGTCATTGGTCCCTCATTTCTGCCCTCACAACTTTTTTTAATTAAAAAAATATTTTATTGATTTCAGAGAGAGGCAGGGAGTGAGAAGGAGAGATAGGAACATCAACGATAAGTGAGAATCATCCATCAGCTGCCTCCTGCACACACCAGGAGTCCAAAACCCTGGGCATGTGCCCGGACCGGGAATCGAACTGTGACCTCCTGGTTCTTAGGTGACACAATCACTGAGCCACGCCAGCCGGGCTGCCTTTACAACTCTTTGTCCACAATTCAGTTGAATCACTTGGCCTTTTCTGTTCTGATGATCTGTTTACCCGTCTTTTACCCACTATACCCTAAGCTCCTTGAAAGCAAGGGATTAAATCTTACTCATCTTTGTATTTTTACCCCAGTGCCTAGCAACAGTTTTTACTCTATGAATGTTAAATGAATAGATCTCCATAAGATACTGATTTTTAAAAAGGTTTTTGCAAGAGAAAACACTTTGAGGGTAGTATCTTTGTGACTTCTAAATGATTATGGGATAATATTATTTGAGGAGTACTGTGGACAACTTTCATTCATTTCTCTTTTTTTCTTTTGTGTTTCTGAAGATGGTTAGCCCTGAAAACACCAAATCCAGCTCAGATGATGAGGAGCAGCAGATGGAGCTTGATGAAGAAATGGAGAATGAGATTTGCAGAGTATGGGATATGTCAATGGATGAGGTACGGGGTAGGAAATGAAAGTGAAAGACCGTTGGGTGATTTTTTTCTTAAAGGTTGGTCTTTAAATCTCTGGGGAAAGACTTTAGTGTCTGTCATCACTCCTGTATGTGGTACAGGGAATGAGGTTCCAGGAGCTATAAATGCTACAGGTTTGTCTTTTAGGTTTGTGCCAAATATAGGGTATCCCAATACCTGGTTTTGTATACACACACTAATTATAAAGATAGTGTATATTAAATACAGTTTTTTTTCAAAATTGAGCTATCAGCTATTAAAGTGTATACATTTTTTTTTTGGACACCCTGTATATAGTTTTTATGAAGGCCAGAACTCTTGTAGCCAGGAAGGTTCTGATACTTACATACCTAAAGAGAACACTGACCTTGTATTTGAGAGCAGGGTAGGAGTTAGGAAACCATTGATGTACCAGGATTAAATTAGAGGAAAGGGACAAGAAGGAATTGCATGTATATAATTGCAATAATGTTTTAACATTTGTATTGTACTCTATAACTCAAGCATTTTCATGTATATAATTCCATCTGTTGTTCACAATAACCTTGTGATACAGGTGGTACTCTTACTGGTAAGAGAAAAGGCAAAAGAGATCGACTCACATAAGCTCTCATTTTATTACTTGGTCTTTGCGATAGATTTCTGATTAAAATCCTGTTTTAGTCTCTTTCACTTCCTTCTGTCTTTCAAATTGCCACCCAAATTATCTTTTTCCTAAAACACAATCTAATTATATTCTTCTGTCTTAAAAATTGTTAATGGCTATTCATTGTCTTTAGCCATTTTTTAAAACAGCTTTATTGAGGTATCATTAACACAAAATATACTTGAGGCATAGTTGATGAACAAAAACTGCACAGCCCTAGCCAGTGTGGCTCAGTGGTTGAGTGTCGGCCCATGAACCAAGAGGTCACTTGTTCGATTCCCAGTCAGGGCACATACCCAGGTTGTGTGCAGGAGGCAGCCAATCGATGTTTATCTCTCATTGATGTTTCTATCTATCCCTCTCCTCTCCTCTCCGAAATCAATATAAATATATATATTTTAAAAATGGTCAGATTTTTCCCCCAAAATGGTTTTTACATTTAACATTAACATAAGCAGTATGTGATACTATTCCAGTTCTACTTTCTCCTCATCCAACGTGGTATGGTCAGTCTTTTTAATTTTAGCCATTCTGATAAGTGTGTGTTGATTCCCATTATAATTTTAACTTGGATTTCCTTAATTACTAATAATGT